CAAACATACGAATACACATTTAAGAAATGTGTATGTGTATGTCCACTCTCTCTACGTAACGCCGTGCTCTCACAATTTATTAATAAATTGTGAGAAATAATTATTTTCTTTCTTCGCTGTTATCACACTCAGCACTGGCGTACTCTATACTTTGTTGTACTCGCTGGCCATAGTAGCTACCTTTGTCGCTGGCCATATTAGCCGACAAGCATACATTTAATAATGTGCATTATAATTATCAAAATAATGGGCAAAGCACGATAAATTTATTATAAAAATATAGCCAAGGTTTAGGTTTTGAAATGTGTAATGAGAAAAGCCAAAATTATTTTGTTTTAATTTGAAAATCTTACTTAGTTGGAAGTGCCATGTCTCACTTTGACGTATATATTTTGATGGTTATGGAGAACAATGAAGCACCAAACCACAAATAACAACAAAATAGAGAGATTTTTTTTACCAAACTTCAAGAATAGCTACAATAATTGGTTTTTATACATTATTGATGTTTATCAATGTTTAGAATATTTAATACGGGCGTTGTGGCCATATTACCTGCCTGGCCATAATGCCTGCCTTTACCCTATATATTTTTTTGTATGTTCTAATAACTTTGATATTTCAGAAATTTGATAAAAGGATAACTTTGTTTTAGGTTTTCCGTAACACCATAAAGAAATCAATTTTTTAACAACTCCCAAGAATATTAAATGCATCGGATCAGAGGGAAAATCATTCACCATATTTATATTAGGAATCGATTCAAGTATTGATGTACCTGTATGATGGTTTTCCTGTAATTTTAATCGGAAATCGTTATCTGTTCTTAATTGACAACTATTCAAATATGGATAAATCATTCTATTGAGATAATATTCGCCCTTAGCTGTACATTTAAAACATGCATAATAACCCGAATGACTCTTTGTATAAGTAATAAAAGATGTAGCAGGAACATCGCATATAAAAGATTTAATTTTAAATGAATAAGTGTGAACTTTAATTTTTATACCATGAATAGTTAAATTTTTTGCTTCTTCTGTGAAAGATTGTAAAAATACATTGGCATCTGTGGGTTTTTCATATCCGTGATAAATTCCAATGACATCAACTTCATTGTAATTTCCGACTAAATTGCATAAAATAGGGTAAACTTGACTACTTGAACTCTTGAATAATGGTAGACCATCGATGTTAATGTTAACTTCAATACAGTGTAAATTTTGAAAAGAACATCGCGATAAAAGTCTTTCGATGCAGTTACTTAAACCAAAATGATAGTAATGTCCTGGTGCAACGATGTCTACATTGACTTTCCTGGGAGTTCCTAATAAACTGCGAGCATTTTTAGGCAAATCTGGATATTTAGGTTTTATATTAGATATTAATTCATTTAACGCAGTATGAGTTATATTATTTCTAATTGCCCATTCTTGCAACCAAGATATACAACTTGGAGAATCAGAAGTAGAATTTGTAGATTCACAGTTATTCACAAAATTACGTTCTGTATGATCATCGGAATCACTGTCCGAATTATAATTATTCACGGCTTCTAAATCATTATTGATATACTGAAAATTATTGCAATCCTTATAATTTAAGTGATTATTATTCTCTAAATTATTATTTGAAACTGAAGGTGTACTTTCTAATAACGGCGTTACATTCTCACTTTGAACAGTATTAATTACTAGATTAGTTATCGCTTGTGCTCTTCGATAATATTTCCTTTTTATTTTTGGCATTTTTTAAATTAATTAATATATTTTTTACCTGTAATTGATTGATGAAAATTCGTGATATAACTTTGATGAAAATCCGTTTGATGAAAATCTGTCAAGAAATAATAATTCTTTATGCGAAGAGAAACCTATAAAATATAGAACATTATTAGTCTACTATAAAATAAGTCACATTCATATTTAGACATTTATATATTGAAAAATAAAAAATAAAAAATATGAAGTGTTTTAATCAATTTTCATCTAAATTATTTTTTCTCAATGAAGCACCTTCGATTTAAAAAAAAAAGATTTCATTGAGAAAAAAATTTGGCTAAAATTGATCAAAATACTATTAAATTTTTCTTTTTTCGATATTTTTTGAAAAATACGTTCAAAGATAAACCAATAACCTTTTTAATGACAACACTTTTATTTTTCTTTAACTTATAGATATCCAAAATTTTTTAAATCAATTATTTTTAAATTTATATAACTCGCGAATCAATAAAAATAAAAATCTAAAAAATTTATAACGTTATTTGCAATAAGTACAAAAACATTTAAAATATAGAAAAATGATCGAGAAAAAACATTGATTTAGTATGGAATGCCCCATATACAGTGTATTTCAGAAATAAATTGCCAAACTTTAAGAGCATATTTTATTTACTGTAAGGATGAAAACAATAACAGATTTTAAGAACATTTAAAACTGTAAAATTTTATTACAGAAATTGTTGAAAATAATTTTCTTCCGCATTAATGCATGCCTTGCATCGATGTCGCATGGATTGTCGAAGACATCTAAAAATTCTCGAAGTATTTTGTCACACGAAGTAATAATACAATTTCGGAGTTCTACAATTTAACAACACGAATGTCATAAATGATTCTAATTATCCCATACAGATCCATCTAATAACTTTTCGTTTATTTCTAATAAAAGATGAATAGAAGGACAATTCATGAAACGATGCGAGACATGTTGCATAATATAAATAAAAAGTGCTTATAACTTGAAATAAAGCGGTTCCGCATGTTTATATGTATACTTTTTATCATTATAGTGATTAGAATATACTTTTAAAGTTAGGTGATCTATTTCTCTGAAACATCTTGTATATAAATTATCGTTAAAGATTATAGAATATAAAAAATGAATATGAAAACGAGTTTAATCAATTACCCTTATGAAAAAATACACTCAATCATACGTTGACGGTCCGAAATAACCATCAAATTGAGTGTAAACCTTCATAATCGAGTGTTTCATGATCGATTATGAAGTTTTTCACTCAATTTGATGGTTATTTCGGACCGTCAACGTATGATTGAGGCTGCGTTCGGGGAGATGCTATTTAGCGCTATGAGCGTGCTCTGTCCTTGTTCAACTTTTGCAAGTAACAAGGACAGAGCACGCTCATAGCACTAAATAGCGTCTCCCCGAACGCAGCCTGAGTGTATTTTTTCATAAGGGTAGCCCAGTGAGAAATGATTCGTCGATCGACGTCGAAACGACGTCGAATCGACATCGACACCGTCGAATTGGCGTCGATTCGACATCATTTCGACGAATCATTTCTCACTGGGAGTGAGTGAAAATACAATCGAATTAAGGTTACGTTCCGAAACCTTCTCCGAAGAAAATTTTACTCGAGAGATGAATCGAAACCAATCAGAAATTATCGAAAAGATTTCGGAATGGCCATCGAGTAAAAGTTTCCTTGGAGAAGGTTTTGGAACGTAACTTAACCTGATTACTTGAGAATGTTGTTTGTAAATTATCATACTTGTGCGTACGTGTGTGCGTGCATGCGTGCGTATGTGGTATATGTGTGTGTAAATAATGTGACAAAACTATTATTATAATTATAGTAGAACACTTACCTTGATAAGTTTCTAACAAATGCCTTGGTGCAATGTTCGCAACCTCAGCACTACACTACATGTACGTGCGCGTTCAGTCGTTGACCGAATGAGAAAAGATCCGTTGTCCCAAACATTTCACTATCGCTATAAGGATTCGCATTTGTTCTGGTCGCGTGTCGCGCACATAGACATATATA